GGGAGCAGGGGATTGACTTCTGAAGTACAAGGACAAGCCAGTGCTGGCCTGATTCAGCACTGCTTATAGACCTGGGCTGCTCTGGAAGCAGGAAGCAGGAGACCCAGGGTGGAAGGCCCTCTTCACCTGAGCATAGCCAGCGTAAAGAAGGCCAATTAGGCCTACAACCCTTTCAGTTCCCAGGGAGCCAGCCACAAACCGCTAGGGCAGCCTGCGCATGAGTCACCATTGACTTTGAAACCCAGGAGAGATGTCTAATGATGTCCCCGAGGCCTGTGGTGTCCCAGCAGTGCTTGGCATTCAGGCCGAGCCTAAGCGCAAGGTTCCTCTGGAGAGGGCCACACATAGGGTTGAGAGACAGATAAAGCCATGGCTCAAGATGGAAAATTACTGTCCCTCCCAGCCGTGTGTGTGTGTGTGTGTATGTGTGTGAGTGTGTGAGTGTGTATGCGACTGTGAGTGTGTGAATGAGAGTTTGTGTGCCTGTGAGTGTGTGTAAGTGAGCACATGTGCATGTGTGTGAGTGAGCACATGTGTGTATATGTGTGTGTGAGTGTTTGAGTATGAATTTGTGTGAGTGAGCACACATGTGTGCCTGTGCATGTGTATGAGTGTATGTGTGTGAATGTGTGAGCGAATTTGAATTTGTGTACCTGTGAGTGTTTGTGAGCACATGTACATGTGAGTGTAAGTGAGTGTATGTGTGAGTGTATGAGTGTATGAGTGTGTGAGTGTATGTGTGTGTGAGTGTATGTGTGTGTGAGTGTATGTGTGTGAGTGTATGTGTGTGTGAGTGTATGTGTGAGTGTATGCATGAGTGGTCATGTGTGTGAATGTGTGTCTTTCTCAAAGTTGTTTTCATTTGCATTTCCTTGATGGCTCAGGACATTGGACACCGAGGACTTATGGGCCACTTCCATTTCTTTCAGGAACTCTCTATTTAGCTCACTGGCCCGCTTATTGATCGGGTGGCTTGCCTATTTTCTTCAGCTCTTTATATAGTCTGGATAATCCCATCTGATGCATGGTTGGCAGAAATTTTTAGCAGGCCGTCTCTTCGCTCTGACAATGGTTTCCTTTGCTGTGCAAAGATTCTTAGTGGCCTACGATCTCCACGGGTGGTTCCTGGGCTTATTTCCCTGGGCTCTGAGTCCTTTCCAGAAACTTCTGGCCTGTGCCTACATCTTGACACATTTTTCTTTAATGGCTTCAGAGCTCTGGGTCTTAAGATAAGTTATTCGTGGACCACTGTCTTGTTGCCCATTGTTTCATGTATTTGGAATGTTCTGGATATTTCAGGAGAGTCAGCTGAACCCACTCCATTACCCTGTGTTGCCTAGAAGCAGAAGTCTAAATGCTTTTAACCATGGCGTCCAGGGCCTGGTCCAGGTTGAGTATTCCTAGTCCTTTATTTGGCGTGGACTGACTAAAAAGAATGAGACTCCCTTGACACAGCAGACTTGAGCCTGGGCCCTTCCCCAGTGCCCTCCTGGCTACCTGACCATCATCTGCACAGGGTCAGGAGAGCTGACTGATGGGTCAACTTCTCTGGGGCTCAGGAAAGGGTAGCATGACCCCTGAGGTTTCAGGACAGCTCCTGCCTTTCTGTCATGTCTAAAGGGAGCGACAGAAACAGCAGAGATGCCGCTGAGACAGCTCTTTCCTGGGGCTTGGCACTCCCCTGTCAGGCGACCTGCCTGTCACCCAGGATTGCCATCTCAAAGTGCAGGCTGCCCTTCCCTTGCTTACTGGCAGTCTGTGCATGTCGCTTCTTTTGGAGATTGCAGGTTCCTCACTGAAAGAGGATCAGGTCTTAGTCAGCTTCATAATCATCCCTGGGCAGCTGGCGCCAGGTCTGGCAGAAGACAGCTTGCGTCTGATTCATCTCTGCCTCGCCCCCTCAGCTCTTAGCGGTAAACACTGAGCATGCTCAGTTCATGTCCAAGGGAATGCACACACACACACACACACACACACACACACATACACACATGAATGAGCGCTATCAGGAGTCTGCCTCTAATTACGAGCCTCCAGCCTGCCCACCTGGTGAGCTCTGATCATCTTTGCAGGGGTACTGAGGGAAACTGAGGCAGTGACGAGGCTAGTGGGAAGCTCCAACAGCTGCAGGGCCCCGCTGCGGTCCTCACATAAGTTGCTTCGGTGTTCATTCTCTGTCCTGAAGTGACAACACCCAGGCTTCCTCCAGCTCTGGCATCCTCTCAAGCAAGGATAAACACGAATGCCATCTTCGAATCTATCTCTGGCTTTGTGTACAAAATCCATCACTTATGCCTCAACTAGGTCTCCGGAAAGACTCCTCTCCACAGATGGGCTGTCTCCTTCTGCACTGGCAGTGTTCGTCTGCACCTGCTGGGTTCCACTGGTCTCAGACAGAAGGGCACACAACAAGAGCTAGCTGGTTCTAGTAGCAATGCTTTGAAAAAGGGCCCTCAAAAGAAAATCCCCACCTCACCAGCAAAGTGTAAGGAAATTGGGCTTTGCCAAATTCTCGACTTCGGCTTAAAACCCGACATGTGGATGGAATCACTAAAGAGGGCCTCGATGGCACCTTTGAGGGACAGTTTTAAGTAGGTCCCTCTAGCTCATTGTGATCGTCCCTAGCTGATGGAATCATTCACTGTAGTGACCAAAAAGAGTGCCTTCCCCTTCCTGGGTTCACACTCTGGGACACTAGACAGAGGTGTAGCCACTCACTGAGACTACACACAGGAAGACGGCAGCTGCAACACGCTGGGTGGAATGACCTGGGAACATGCCCCCAAACAGGTCAGAGCCTGGGAGAGACTCACAGAAGAACTTTCTGGTCCAGGAAAAGAAGGGGCAGTCCTTCGCAGGTGCTGGAACAGTCTAGACGCTGCAGCTGTGGGCAGGGAACTAAAACTCCATCAGTTTACCCTGGGAAGACTCTGCCATGTCAAGGATGCTCTCAAAAGGGGAGGGAGATTTGAAGTTTGATCATTTTTACCAACAGAATCATTGATTGAGCTCCTGGATGGGAACGAAATCCCGAAGTATCCCGCTGGCTCTCCAGCACCAGTCAGAGTCTCTATTCTGCTTGCTCTTGGTTCTGCCTTGGGGGTACCAGAGTGGGAATATCTGGGAAAGACACCAAGGTGTTTGTTTGCTTATGATATTGATCATATCTCTCTCCCCCTCTCAGACACACACCATAGAACCATACTAAAAATATGTTTACCCAAGAGGAATATGAAACATCTCTGTCTATACAAAAGACTCCCTCAGAGATGCTTGTTGCAGCTTTTCTTACGAAAAATTTGCAAACAGCCTAAGAGTCCATCAGCAGGTAAATGGATAAACAGTTGACAAACAGAGAGAGAGAGAGAGAGAGAGAGAGAGAGAGAGAGAGAGAGAGAGAGAGAGAGAGAGGAGGGGGAGAGAGAGGAGAGAGAGAGAGGAGAGAGGAGAGAGAGGAGAGAGAGGAGAGAGAGGAGAGAGAGGGAGAGAGAGAGAGGAGAAAGAGAGGGGAGAGAGAGGAGAGAGAGGAGAGAGAGAGGGAGGAGAAAGAGAGGGGAGAGAGAGGAGAGAGAGGAGAGAGAGGGAGAGAGAGAGAGAGAGAGGAGAGAGAGGAGACAGAGGAGAGAGAGGAGAGAGAGGAGAGAGAGGAGAGAGGGAGAGAGGGAGAGAGGGAGAGAGGGAGAGGGAGAGAGAGAGAGAGCGAGAGCGAGAGAGAGAGAGAGAGAGAGAGAGAGAGAGGAATATTACTTATCCACAAATAGGGGAAACTTCTGGACTGTATAGCTACCTGGGTAAATCCCAACGCTGCTGAATAAATAACACAGATGTAAAAACAAACAAACAAAACAGAATGCCTTTCACGTGATTTGATTTACACGAACACCTGGAACAAGCCAATCTTTTCTATTATTTAGCCATCATTGGGGTGACTGTCCCAGGTGAAGGATTGTTGAGGAAGAGACTCAAGGACATTTTGAAAGTCTTGGGGACCATGAATGTGGCTTCTGCTGGTGTAGACATCTGTCAGAAGATGTGCAGGAATCCCCCTGGACACATCCCTGGGTTCTTAGGTATCTTTCACTGGCTCAGTACATGTTGTGGCCTCCTTCAGGGTGCCCAGTACAGAGCTGGGGACACAGTTGTGATTCTTGTGCAGATCTTTGTATATACTGATGACTTGTCTAGCACTGTCTATCTGTGTGGTCTGTCCACTCCTCTCTTTCCTCACCCTCCCTCTGCTCCCCACCACCACTACCCTTTTGTAATACTCAGGCCTCTTGAGATGGGGATGGGCTCTCTCTTTGCTTTACTGAAGAGGTGGGAATAGTAAGCAGTCTCTTGAGACCTGTTCTCCAGGTGAGCATCAACACCGCCCAGTCCAACCAGGGGACAGGATTACCCTAAGGACTCCTCATGGGTAGGGTGAGGACAGGAAGTCCTTGTGGAGTTGGGTGTGAAAAGCTGTCATGTTACATGGTTACCTGGCTCCTTGCAGACCGAGAGGGTGGCATCTCCTGAGCCAAATCCAGGCATGAAGAGCGAGAATCTCTCACAAGAAACTCAGTATAGAATCACATGGAGGGGGCCAGCCTCCCTCCTTGCTCTTCCTAAGTCCCCGGTGAGCCTGCCACCCCACCCCCAACCACAGAGGCACCAGATTTAATGCCTTGGCCGAGAGAATGAGATGTTCTGTTATTTTTCATGGGAAATTAAGCCCGACCCTGCTGTCAGTTAGCTCATGCCTGGGAGGATGGAGGCCTGCTTAGCCAGGCGCTCAACCCCTGCTCTGAGCTCGCCAAGGCGGGCTGGAGGCACTGAGTGGGGGAGGGGCTGGCTGGAGGCCAAGCATGATGTCACCTGCTGAGGTGGGGGTAGGGAAGGCAGGAAAGGTCAGAGGGCCTCACTTGGGGTGATGGATAGCTATGAGTGCCACTCCCTCACCAGTGTCACACAGATCCACCTCTCTCATTCAGAGACACTCCAACGTTGGTCTCTTTCAGCTCCCAACTCTACCTCCTGCCCTACGGAGGACAACTGGTGGTCCGGCCTGGTGATCATTGTCGCGGTGGTCTGTGCCTCTCTGGTGTTTCTGACTGTCCTGGTCATCATTTGCTACAAAGCCATAAAGAGGTGAGTGTCCAGCCACCATGCCCTCCCTGGGAGCCCCCTGGAGCCCAGCAGAGCTGCGACAACTTTGGCCACTTCTGTAAACAATAAAGATTGACACTCAGTTAAGGAGCGGGAAGGATGAGCAGAGGGCCCTCTCTGTCCCTAAGCTGTTTAATGCTTGCCATGAATTTACTTTAATGGCTCCGGCTGTTTTTCTTTGTTCTTGTACCTTTAATATTTCAGAGTTGATCACAGACATACCTTCCCAAGTGTTAGGACGTTTGATTCTGCAAGTTATCCATCTGCTTCAGCAAATACAAAACCAGGCATAAAGCACCTCCAAGCACTGAAGGGCAGCAGTCATTAATAACATTTCTGGGAAATATGATTAGGGAAGGTTTACCTTCCCTAATCCCCGAGCTCCAAAAGTTACTTCTAATTATTATTAGAATAATTGTTAGCATCTCAGATATTTAATTTTTTCCCCTGAGTCCACTCGCCTGTGTAATATCACTTTAGCAATTCAAAACCAAAAAGAATGACAAAAGAAATCTTAGAATGAGGGTGTGGTCGGGCTCCCAGGTCCCAAGCTCTGCACCTGGGCAGGAGAGGGAGGACTTGAGCTGCTGCAGACCTGGGCACACACAGACCTGGACACACACAGACCTAAGCACAGGCATCCCCAGGTGGCGGGAGAATTTACTTCTAGGACTTAGGTCACAGGATGAGCTTCACAAACAAGATCAATATGGAATCCTCAGGAACTGACTAGACCCTTGGAATTTTCAGGCTACGCTGTGGGGTTCATCTCTCTGTCCTGTGGCCTTAGTCCATCTCCCAACCTTTCTCCCAATGGTGCTGTATTTTTCAGATTAGGAAACTGAGTCTCCAAGGAGCTAGGAAGCTGCCATCCTATCAGAATTTGAGTCCAGAATTGTGTGGTGCCAAAGTCCATCTCTCACCATGCTGGAGCGCTCAGCCAAAGTTGATGATGGGCCTCCGAGATCCTGTCTGCCCTTCCTGGGGAGCGAGGAGGAGGGAATGTGGGGATTTGATGTCTGTGTCCTGCTGAGATCAGAAGGTCAGACAGATAGACAGACAGATAGAGAGACAGACAGACAGACAGACAGACAGACAAGCTCAAAGGCCCTGAGACCCAGTAACTCTGGGCACAGACCTGGCTTTGGATGGAGTCTTCCACTGCTAAAGTGTTTTGTGACTACCTACTATGTGCTGGCTCCACTAACAGAGACATGGCATGTTTACAAATGATAAAGATTATTTAGCCATAAACTATTCACCTGACCCCAGGCAGGAGAGCTGATATAGGCCTAGGAACAGCTGCTTGCTCTGGGTGTTCAGAGGGGTCATGATGAATCTCAATTCCAGTTGACAGTAGTTGGAGCCCTGAGCCTCTGGGACTTTCGGAATTGTAGCATGGGCTGTTCATTGTGTACCTTGGGGTGACAGTGCAGATGCCACCGTTGGCTGAGTCATAGAGGTGACTCTTCCCGGAGTGAACAAGGCTGCTGTTCAATATGGTCAAGTTTGTCTTGTCCTTCTGTCCTAGTGGGCTTCAGGCTATCTAGTCTCATACAAAGCTTTTGGGCTCAGACCTTGCCTTATTCAACTGACTTGCCCTATTTGCCATCTTGTCAGTCCAGTTCCTTCCCCCAAACTGTAGGTTACACCACACACACACACACACACACACACACACATATACATATATATATATACACATACACACATACACACACATACACACACACATACACACACATATATATATATATACACAAACATACACACACATACACGCATACAAACATACACACACACACACACATACATACATATTTGAGACAGGTTCTCATAATGTGGCCTAATCTGGCCTCAAGAAAACCCCCTATTCTGCTGCCTCAGCCTCCAGTAGACACAGGGAGCCCAGGCCAGGAAGGACTCCTGAAAACCCAGGACAAGCCTTCCTGGGCTGCAAAGGTCACCTTGGGAATCAGCAGGGTCCCATGTGTGCCCATAGCCAGAGAGAAATAGGTAGAGGCTGTCTCCAAGGACACACTTATAGTTTTGCTTTGTAGCTGTCTATTCTGCTGTCTGAAGTTTCAGAAGAGCAGATGTCCAGACTCTCAGTGGGTCAGGTGCCATGTGGTCAAACTCTGTCCACAGCACCTCCCACAAATGATATTCACCCCTCATGACCATGTGGCATCTCAGGAGTTTACAGAGCACTCAGGGAGCCTGAGATATCCCAGAAGTTCCCTGTCTAGAGCTCCATATGTGGCCCGGCAGTACTTTCTCCAGTGTCTGTTCTTGGAAGGGCTCTGTCTAGTACAGAGCCACGACTGCAAAGCTCTGCAGAGAAGAGTCACAGCCTGGCAGGGACCTCTCCCTGCCTGCCACACCCTCTGCTGCTCCCAGAGCCAATCCAGAGAGCTGAAGGATGAAGTGAGGGTGCCCACAAGTCACACCCATGGTTCACCTTCACCGTGCACCATCTGCTTCTCCTAGTGACACCTTGGGGGCCGGGAAAAGCTTTTCTTTTTCTGGCTTTGAACTCATGACTGGGGAAATCTGTGCTCTATAGAGGAGGCTTGTGTCGGGCCTCTGGTGTGTGTGTGTGTGTGTGTGTGTGTGTGTGTGTGTGTGTGTGTGATGAATGTATCTTTTCCCCAACTGTGGGCTGCTCAGAGCCACACTTTAACTGCCTCCTCTTCAACAGAACAGCAGCTTGGGTGCCAGCAGAACCCTAGAGCCCATGCCTGGTGGAGGCAGTTCCTGCAAAGGCCCTTTGGGGCTCTGTGGCTGGAGCCCCGTGCATGATGCTCCCCAGTAGAGATCAAGAACACCCAGTGAGTCAGGACAGAAGGTCTCCAAATGACAAGGCTACTGTCCCTCATCCCTTCTGCCCAGAAGCCAGGACACATGGAGACACTCACTCCCCTTTCTTTTGGTTTTAGGAACCAGGCCATTTAAAGGAGTTCTCTGTGGCCTCTGCCTTGCTTGGTGAGACCAGCCCAGATTGGCCCACAGATTGGAGGATCGGAAGAAGTCCTAGCAATGTCTGCTAGGTCTTCCAGAGCCTCAGAAGGTGCATGCTAAGTAGGAAGTCTGGGCAAAATGGAGGACTGGTATGATGGCCACTGCTGGCCAATCAGCTCCCATGATGCCTCTCTGACAGGAGTGCTAAGAGCTAACAGATACTTACAGAACACTTACTGTATGGTAGACACTCATTCACACGCTTGATCTGCACTAATGTGTTTAATCCTTCCAACAAACCTATGAGGACACTGTTGTACCCGTTTTATAGATAAGGAAACTGAGGCTCAGAGAAGTTGCATAGGTTGCCTGAGTTCACACAGGTGGAGAGCAGTGGAAAGCTGAGGTTCTAGAAGCTGTGGCCTCTGCCTCTTTAAGTGGGTAGTGTCACCCATGAGTGCTATGTCTGGTGAGAGAATGGAGTCACAGAGCTTTCTTCTTCTTTGGGGACAATTCAACTTTCACTGGCACCAGTGAATCCCAGAAGGCTTTGCAAACAGCTATGTCCAAAGTATGGGGAACAGAACAGAGGAGGTCTTGGCTCAGGTGCAAGGATGTGGGCAGGCCAAATCTACGTTATCATGAGAGCTTTTTATGCAACCGTCACCATGAGCTGTCTTCTGGGAGCTTCCCTGGCCCGTGATTGAAGCTAGGTGAGACAGACTTTTTGGAAGGATATATAGGGGTACTTTCCCAAGGGGCCAGACAGAAGAGCCTGTTCTTAGGAGAAGGCCTGCTGGGGATGGTGACCTAAGGGGACAGGCAAGAAAGACAGTCTGGGTCCCACTGCAATGCAACTGGGGCTCTTGGCAAGTCAGTTTTCACTCAGCCTCAGTTTCCCCCTCTGGAATGACTCTTGATTCCAGCCTAGCTTCTTCCGGGGGGCCTGAAGAGGGACAAGGATCCCCACTGTTCAAAGCATGACACACCAGGGGAGGACACATGGATTAGAGCTTGCCTTTCTAAAAGCCGCTGTGGCTAGGCTTAGCCAACTAGAGTGATTTCTTCTGTGAGGAGACTTCTGATACAAAAAAAAGAGGGCAGTGTGAATAAACTTGACCTTTGTGTGTCGTGTGAGGTGTCCTGATAGTCTCCGCGACTCCCCTGACCATCTCACTGGCTCCCCGCTTTGCCAGGATTTTTTTTTTTTTTTTTTGCAAGCAGAGTCCATTCTGAGGTTTTTGAACCAGTCAGGCTCTGGAGGATGCTGGAGAAGACAGATGCAACCGATCCCTGAGTTTTTGAAGATGATTGTACATGTCTAGTTTAGATAATACCTAGCAAGAGCCGTTTATGCTGGGTACCTCTGGGGACCTGGAGGCGCCTGAGCTATGCTCAACCGGAGTCCTCTCCACTAAGAGATAGCAGTACAATGGTATGAAGCAGAGGGTTATTCAGTGCAGCCCAGGAGGTTGTAGATACTCAGGGTGGAGGCCAGAGACCTCCTGAATGACTCAGAGGAGAAACAAGGGCTTCAGCCAGGCCAGGAAGTAGCACTGTGATGTCACGCCCTCAGCAAGGGGGCGAGACCCGTGTCTCTTGTACACGGAAAAGGAATGGATCGTGGGTTCAGTGGCCTCTGAAATGAGCTTTTGATGGTTCGACAAAACGGATAAGATCCACCGGTGTGTACTAGCTCAGCTTGGGAATTTGTCGTCATCATCACCCCTGCCATAATCGTCACCGCAGTCACTGTCACCACCACTATCAACCCAACCGTGACCACGGCTATTAAATCCCACCATCACCCCTCCCACCAATAATCCAGCTATCATCCCATCTGCCGCCACCACCAGCATCTCCACCACCTCCCGTACCATCATCACCTTCTCCACGTTATCACCACTACCATAACCTCTTTCACCATCCTTATCACACTAACCATCAGTGTCATTCTATCTACCGTCACCACCATCTCCTCCACCATCACTAACCCCTTCTCCACCACGACCATCACTATAGCCACCACCAGTAGCATCATGGGTACCACCACTGCCACCGCCAGCCCAGCCGGTGTGGCTAACACCTCCGTCACCCTCACCACTAACTCACTCACTACGTGTACCATGATTTTGATTGCGCAGAGGCAAGGTACAAACTCCGATTGCTAACGCTGCTCCTCGTGAACCAGTCAGAGCTTGATCCTACTAAGCTGGCTGTACATGGGTTATCCAGAACATTCCGATTCAGATCGTTGTCTCCTTCCCTTTCCCTTCTCGGTAGGCCCTGGCTTGCATACTAAATTATAGGTCATCCTAGTTAAGAGTCTTTGTAGCTTCTGACCCCACAGAGGTGCTAACCTAGACTCTGGCTCGGAGGTTACACTGTCACAGTTGCTTGGAACTGACTATGTCCTTGTCCCCACCCCTGATCCTTTCTAGGAAACCACTGAGAAAAGAGGAAAACGGCACCAGTGTTGCTGAGTACCCCATGAGCTCCTCACAGAGCACCAAAGGGGTGGATGTGAACGCTGCGGTGGTGTGAACCTGCAGGCCCCAGGACCCACTGGCCAGAAGGGCACCATGGTGACACTGGTGGAGACGGAGGACAGGGGGACATGAGCTGACCCTGGGTCTGTCCAGGACTTCGTGCTTCGCAGGCCTCGAGCCTCCTGAATGAGAAAGCATCCTCTTCCCAGGCTAGCCCTGGTCACTCCCAAGGGGTGCAGCACCAACACCAGGCTTGAGCCAGGCTCCCCTGCATGTGACCCCTGAGCAGTGTCACCACCCAGGGATCTTCCATACTCTCCCCCTTGTCTCGTGTCGGGCACACCGATTGTCACCCAGTTGCTACCGAAAGCATGTATTCCAATGAAAGCAGAGGATCTGTCTGTCTGCCTAAGGCAGAGAGATGCCCCACTTTAGCCAGAAGAAAGGTGATCCAGGGACTGCTCCCATTCTGGAAGCTTCCTCTCCTGCAGGAAACCCACATGCTCCTCTGTGGACATTCTTACAAAAGCCATCACACAGCCGTGAGACAAATGTCCCCTTCCAAAGGTGCTTCCCACGCATCTGTCCATCGCTGTGTCCGCCATGGTCTTCCGTCTCCAGAGCCCGTGTCACCCTCCGCTGCCCACCCACAGCCTAGCCTGTGACTCCTTACTGCACACCTGCCTCAGGAAGCAGTCCGCTCAGCCTACATAGTCCCCAGAGAGTGAACTCAGTGTCTCCCAGATGCCCGGGCAGAGGTTGTCTCCAAAAAGTCAGAGGTTCCCTTTGCCCACTCTGGATCTTCAGGAAGCATCAGTGTGAGCCAGACCCTGCCTCACTGGACAGAGGTCACAACTTGTGCCAAACCTGTATGGGCACTCTGTGCCAGGCTGATGCTCGTCTAGAGCTCTGTGACCCATGTACCCCCAAAGGTCCCCTGAAGCCTAAATTTGGTACCCGGGAAGCTCCCAAGAGAAGGTGGCCTTCTGTGTGTCCCTGGCGTGGCTTTCTCTGTGGCCCAAAACTCTTAAGGCACCAGAGCCTCCTGAGTATGGGCAGAAGGGAAAGTGGAGAAGAATAGTCTAACACTGATAACGCCCCCACCCACCCACCCACAGGCTTGTTTCCCTGGAGGCCACCCACACAGTGAGGTGTATCCCTTGACTCTTGTGATTTTGTATCCCTTGCTCCCCCCCCCAACTCCCCTCACCAGCCACATGTACTTGACTAGAAGGAAGCAAACCTACTGGAGCGTAACACCCCCACAGCATAGAGATTTAGCTGAATGCACTAGCCTCCTCCTCAACCACCAGAGATGTCTGGTGGGTGTTTGTGCTACAGGAGAATTTCAAAAATCAGTCCTATGAGGCTGGATACCCTGAGGCTGCCACTGCTCTGCTCCTGAGTCAACAGGTACAGGCTAAGGGGCAGTTCAAGGCATGGCACACCTCCTGTGAGTGACATTTGCCCTCCTTTGCTTGAGGACATGGTTTTGGGGTTAGTTTTGAATTTCCCCGTTACAGCCTTGTGCTCTGGCACAGGGTCGCCAAGATCCTTCTCTAGGGCTGCCCTCACCTCACCCAGGGGAGCATCGGGCCGTCCTCTTTGGATGTGATACCAAATGACAAAGAAGCCAGAGAAGGTAGATCAGGGACAGGCAAGACAAGGGTGAGAAGCCTGTCGGGCTCCACCCTAGTGGCTTGTCTCTCACACCATCGCCACCTTGATCTAAACTGAGACAAGGGCCAGTCTCCTGGTGCCTGTGCCAGCAGCAGACACTGAGCAGATAGGAGGCCTGGCCCTGGCTGTAAACATACACACTGTAGAGCCTCACAGGAGAGAGTAACACCCTCCCACTCCCACCTCCAGTTATCAAGACCCAGGAGTGAGGAAGGGAGACCCGTGGCTGGAGGGGAGCTACCTACTAGGGGGCCTGAGGGCTGGGCGGAGCCTGAGATCTCCGAATATCTATGTCCAGACCTTAGCTTAAACCTAGGAAGCACACAGTGTGTGTGTGTATGTGTGTGTGCTATTATCAGGGACCACAGCTGAGGTTGCACTGTGCTTGGCTAGTGTGGATGTAAATTCTCTTTAGTGGGCTTGCATTACCCCATCCCACAGTTAGGGGAAACCAAGGGCCTAGGTTTTAGAAGGGTTCCCCAGAGAACAGCCTCCGAAGCCCAAGACTGGCCACTTAGAGGGCGCAGCTCACATCACAATAGAAGGCACTAGTTTTTTTTTTTAAGCCCACACGGCTGTAACATATATAAAATCAACATCAGCCAAGAGTGTGAACTTAGACCTTCATTTCAAAGGGTCCTGTGTCAGCTCCACTAAGACCTGTTCTCAGTACAGCCTGAATGCAGGAGTCAAAAGAAATGCTCGCATTCACGAGTTTCCTCCAGTGTTTCTCACCTGGGGTTAAGTTGTTTCAGCATTTAGGACTTCCAGGTTACCAGGTGTTTCTACAAGCCTTCTAGAGGACATTTCAGATGAAAAAAAGAGTAGATGTAAAAATAGGCATATTATATATAGTTATATATATTTAAAGAGATATCTATCTATACAAATATATATATATATATATATGAATATTGTATTCTGATCTGTACAAATATGACCTAAACAGTCCAGGCAGTGTGTGACCTGCAGTGCATGAATGTAAATACCGTGAACTCTGCCTTCTTAGCAGTGCGTGTGTACGGGAGGCGACCGTCCCGCCAGCACTCGGCCTTGGTGGGCAGGTGCACGCATCAAGATTCAGCAGCCCCTTCCTTACGAGGAAGGAAGCATCGAGATTTTTTTTTTTACTGTCAATAAAAATATACTTATAAAGATGGCTGTTACTGTTGTCTGAAATGGGTAACTGACCCTGAACATGGGTGAGAAAGAGCAGGCAGGCAGCTGTGAGCCCAGGGCAGGCTGGGCACCTTGAAGGTGCTTTATGTCTTTTGATTTATCTTAAGGTCGCAGGTATGTGTTTTTATTTGTTTTGTTTTTTGAAGATTTTTTTCATTTTTGTGTGTATGAATGTTTTGCCTTCATGTGTGTGTGTGTGTGTGTGTGTGTGTGTATATATGTATATATATATGTGTGTGTGTGTGTGTATAAAGACAAATATATATATATATATATATATATATATATATATATATATATAGTATGTGTGTATATACATGAGGAATACACACACACCATGTGTGTGCCTGGTGCCCTTGGAGGCCTGAAGCAGATATCAGATCCCCTGGAGCTGGGGTTATAGATGGCTCTGAGCTGCCTGATGTGTGTGCTCAGACCAGACCTGTGTCCTCTCTAAGAGCAACAAGTGCTGTTAATGAAACACCATTTCTGCAGCCCGAGGGCTGGTCTTTCTAAGCCCAGTCCTGTCTTTCATCCTCTCACCAACCGCCTCCGTCTAAACTGAGACTAGAACCACAAGCCGTCCCATTTTGCCAGGGTGGAACTAGTTCAGACCCACGACTCCCATGGTCCACACTAATAAGGTTCCAGGAGAATGGTCTGGCCTTTCTGTGGGTATCCAGGCATTTTCTGATCATGCTGGAGGAGTGGAGTTGGGCCCGTGCCCACTATCCTAGAACATCTATCCATCCTGGACGTCAGTGCTCACTTCCCTGGCCTGAAATGTGCTCCAACAGAGGGGCCTCAGAAAGTGCAGGTCCACTCTAGACTGTCCTGAGCCTGAAGGAAGTAGGGCAGGAGCCGCTGAGGCCTGTGCAAAGATCTAGACCCACCAGGAAAACTTCACCAAGCTTCCATCTTTCTGTGGGCCAATGGGGTCCCTGCACTTGTGCCGGAAGGGAGGTTGGGAGAGAGAATGCCATCCTCAACTTTAGGGTAAAAAGATGGATCAGAGAGGGGACTCTGTTCAAGGTCACAAAGAGAGCAGCCAACAAAGATGGAGCTGGAACCCAAACCTTAAATGCTGGCTTCTGCTTAGCACTGAAGGGACCTCAACATAGACTGTCTCCCCGTAACTGAGATACAGCCGCTTTTTCCTACTTCCTTCAGGTCTCCAATCTCAGTGACGTCAATAAGGGGGAGGGGCTAAAGAGCCCCCCATATCCTGAACTAGGGGTACAAGTCTCCCAGCTGACCCCCAGCCGGGAAGGTTGTCATCTCAAGACAAGGACTTGAGCAAGAATCTGTATTCTAGGCACCAGGGAAATGGGAGGAATTACGGAGATCCCTGCTGAGCCGGAGACTTTTTTTTTCCTCAGCCCTTTCCCAGTATCAATGGTGCCTGAAGAGCTGCCAGCTATGGGAATTCCCATTCAGTCAGGCACAGAGTGGAAGAGCCAGCATCACAGTTACTGTCAACAAAGCTGTCAATAAAAGCATCCACACCACTCAGGATTTTGACCTGGCTCCTCTATCTTGGTGCTGTTGAGGATGGAATACCTCGAGCCTCATACACACTCCTGTCTACCCGAGCCAGGGCTCCACAGCAGCAAGCCTGGGACCAGACAAGGACAAGACAGAGCGACCAGCCTGTGTGTAAGGCTCTGTCCATCTCTGCCCCACAATGAGGCAGAACAGTGGGACCAGACCCCTCCTAGGTGTCATGTCCCCCGCCAGCTCTCCTTGCTGAGGTCTCTGTTGCTTGTTTCAACTCCAATGACCAGCGTGGCGCGCCACTCTGACCAGTCTGATAGCAACATGGCTGCCACCAGCAGGCTCCATACACAGTGGCATCCTGCCACTGTGGTATCTGGCCAGGCAGCTGGAGAAGAGGGAGAAAACCATTCTTGGGCCCATGAGGTTGGTGGAAGCAGACCATTCTTTCTCTACTCTTCCATAAAGTGTGGCAGTCAAATATACCATGAGGCATCTGGAAGTCAGTCCTGTTCGCAGCTGGTCACACCACCATTTGGATGGGCCCACCACATGCCTATCCAAATCTCAGCTAGGAGGGCATCTGACAATTCTCTTACTCGGTCACCTGCAGTCCTGTGTCTATCCCATCACAGTCACCCAGGCCCCACCCCCTCACTCTCATATTAGAGTGGGGTACTGGCTAAGACCCGTCCTCTGAACACTTCAGGGATCTCCTGAACACATCATCTGGTTCCTTCTTTCTTCATGGCCCCCCATACCCCCAAAAGGACTCTACCTCCAGGAGCTATGCTGAACACAGGTCCAGCTTTCCCTTCCTGAGGTCCCAGCTGGACACCTCAGATGTCCTTGGCTACTGAAATATGCTTCAGCCTTTCATGCTGCCCTGCAAACCAACACCCACCCTCCTGGCTCCTCCCTTTCAGCCAACCGTTCCACTTCAGGTCTTCCTTCTATCTGACTGTAATTTTTCCTTGATCTGCCATCTGTCTGCCTGCCTTTCATCCAGTCCATCCATTGGCTACTGAGCCTCCTTCCCTGGCCTTGGTCTTCAATCTTGCTGCCCTGGGCCCTGCTACCCCGCTCCATCTCCCACTCACTCCCTTTCACCCATAACTGGATATACTGCATGTCTCTGGTGCGTACCACCCGGCTCCTTGACCAGCCCTTGTCATCCTTGATTCTTATTAGACTTGCCTCTCTCTGCCAAATAATCCACTATCCAAGTCCCGTCCAGAAGCTACCTCCTCTCTGCACTACAGAGCACCCGCACCCTGCACAGCACCCCTTTAGTCCAGTGTAGCTCTGCCTTTCTGTCCTTCCCCATGGGTGTGATTCCTTCCATT